ACTTGTCATTAACTGGAACCAGATAGATGGAATGACGTGGGCTGGCGAAAACCATCGGGAAGCCAGTCAGCAAATGTATGTTCTTTCCGCACAATGCATCTAGCTGGGAAGGCTGCTTTGTCGGCCAAATAACAAATACGTGTCATGAATGTGTGAGGGTAGGTGGAATGCAAGTAGGCTCTGAAAATCGTTAACTGCTGAGTCAGTAATCACTTCTGGTTACACAGATGACAACCATGAGCATACTGAGGGAGTGGATATCACAATGTCACCTACGGCATCCAGACCTCTCGTACAGCGGGAAACAGCCTCACGCAGCATATTGACAGCGACATTCAACTCAAAAGGGAGGAAAGCTGCAATTCTACAATACTGAGTGCCTACAAACAACACGGAATATGACAGGAAGCAAGAATTCTACAGACAGCTTTGAGCAATAAATGAATAAGACTCCAAAATCATAATGCCTAATGTGAACGATGAACTGTGGTGGGAAATTGCAGGTAGAGAATTCATCTTGGGTCTAGAGACTCTCCCTTGGCGAAATGAATGAGAACTGAGAACTCTTTACAGAGTTTGCGCCTTCGGTAATTTGTTGGTTGGAGGCGGCGTGTACCAGCACAAAGATTTACACAAAGCAACTTGCACTTCACTTGTCGGACACACCAAATGCCAGATAGACTTCATCTCAGCCTCACGAGAATGGAGACATAGTCTGCTTAACTCAAAATCGGGATAAGGAGCAGATGTAGGCTCAGACCACTATCTAGTTTAAGGAAGCTTCATGGTCGAGTCGAAAATCTTCAGAACAGTTGAAGACAAATCACTGTTATTCAAGTTGAACACTCAGAAACTGAGAGACCAAACTACAATAGACACCACTGCAGCCAGGAGAGTGAAATCTGAGACAGTCTGTAGCATCACAGAGGAAACGTCTGTGGAATTACAATGGAACACTTTATAGATGACATTGTAGGAAAGCTTTTCAGATGGCGTGGGAAAAATGAAGTGGGAAGACAAGAAATAGCTTTTGACGGACGTCTGGAAGCTAAGCGAGCAGATAGGGGTGGAAAAACGAGTTATGAACCAGTACAAACTGCAACAACGGGAGAAGAAGCCGGCTTCAGTACACAACGCACTCTATACAGAAGTAAAGAAGTGATATAAGACAGTTCTACGACACTCTGCCAAACACATCATAACAGGCTGTGGATCACAGAGACTTCGGAGAGACTTCAGCAGATATCTCGACGCCACTACTGCAAAATGCTTGAAGGAATGAATATACCTACTCATCGTGAGGAAGCAGGCCTTGTCAAAATAACAAGAAAGGTCGGTTTATTGAGTAGTGTCGTTATGCTGAAAACTGAAAGGTGCTGCGCATACAGACGTCCGCCTGGAATTAACTGAGTTCAGGGAAAGCGAATCATGTACCTATCAAATCGCAATGCAGTGCATCATCACTGTACAGAGCATAGAATGGCAGTCAAATCTCCACTTCATCTTTGTCGACTTACAGCAGACCTTCCATAGAGTTGACCCCGAAGTTATTTGTAAACTGCTTCAATACCACGGAGTGCCTCAATTAATTATTAACCTAATTTAAAATCATATGATAATTTCACTTGTTGAGTGATCCACTTAGAAAACTCGACAATGACTCTGAAGTAGAATTAGGAGTAAGGAATACCTGTTGAATACCATCAATGGTATTCCCGAATGTGGTTGACTGGACAACACGCCAGACAGTGGGGAGCCACATGACGTGTTCGGACTTTGCCGTCGTCTTCTGTTTGATGTCACACAAACTCAATAATCTACAGGTGGTTACTATTAAGTTTTATGAAGAACCAGAGAAGAAAGATATTCAAACGAGAATGGAGAAGACAGATTCGAAATGGAAAGTTAACCACCAGTTCCAGATACAAGAATCAGTGACAGCCATTGCAGGAATTTGAAGGAGGTCACTAATCCCCTTTATCTAAGCACCATCCCATTGCAGTCGGAATGGGTGCATATGCGAGAGCAAGAATCAGAAGGACGAGGCAGATCTTCATTAGTCTGAATTCAGTGTAGAAATCTGCTGCATTCAGCATGAATGAAAAATTCGAATTATCAGCACTAATGTCATATCAGTGGACCATTATCAACAGGTTAAGGTGGACTTTCACCAACACTTGCCTTCGATCAGTGCTCAAGATCAGATGCCTTCAGAGGATAAGCAACATGAAACTCTGCGACTGAACTAAACCAAGAACATATTGAACAACAAACAGGCCAAAGAAAGTGGAAATGGGTCGCACGCAAGCTGAGGAAACCTCTGAATGACATCGAGTGGCAAACACATCAATTTGATGCAAATGGGAACCTATGAGTTGAGCGTAAGTCCCAGTGTGACATTTTCAAGATGTCGTGTGAGGAGGTAGTGAAAGTTTTCGGACAATCGTGAAGCCAGCCAAAGCATATTGCACAGAACCCGATGAAATGGAAGTGTACTACTGAAGGTCCATGCAGCACTCGGGATCTAATCGGAGTAGTAACAATAACTGATGTCAGGCAGCAATATGAAACAACAAACGATTGATTTGTTTTCTGTTCTTTGATAACAACATTAATATTATTATTGGTAGTAGCTGTTGTTGTAGTAATAGTACCATTGTAACGGAAATCAACGCTTTTTTAGAAGAAGACAAAACTGAAAGGGTTCAGCTCACAGGAGCATGGAGACAATTCTTTTTATATTGAATAAGATATTGAATTTGACCGCATGCTAGACAATTTCACATGACACATTGGTACAGTACCATTAAGTTGTTTATCTTGTAAGCACAATGTTTTGCTAATAGCCATATCAATTCATCCACGGGATTTCATAATTTGCTCCACATATGTATAAATATCTTCCCTTTATTTACCCTTTCTTGTCTATTGCCATTTTCTGTATGGACAGTTTCTGTTTAGACAGTGTGTTGTTTCGGCTGAATGTGTTACTTACTGATTGGATGAACAAAGACTCAGTGATTGACCTCTATCTTCACCTGAATATATCGCCTTTTCACACTTTCACTCAATTCCAGCCTATTGGGTGAATGCATTGCAATGGATGAGCTATTTCTAGGTTATTTAACTCAACAGAGTCAATCATTCTAGGTCTGGCTAAATTTCTGTGTTCTAATAAACTGACTGCCCTGACATACCAGTCTGACCTATGTAACTCACCTCACAGTCATTGCACGTTGTTTCAGAAATTTCTCTTAGTCGGATCTGTCGATAAACCTTATCACTGAAAGAGTTGGTTAGTTTGTCAGCCTCCCATAACCCGGCTTCACGAAGAATCCCACAATCTTCTTTTAATTCGTTTTATGTTACAGTCTGGAATGGCCAACTGACCTCGTTCATTTTCTAGCTCAAAGGTGAATTGGATTGCATCTCCTACTGAGTTCATATGTGTGAAGAAGTGAGAGATTTGCTGAGATTTCAACAAAGTGAATGCATCATCCGCACCTTTTCCAACATAACCTAGGAGAAGTAATAAAATTTCCAAGGGCTGTATTTCCCAACCATCCATAAATGTCTACTACTATGTGGTGGTGAGGGGTTGATGATCCCACTGACACACCATTCGTTCGTTTGTCCGTTCATTTTCTCTTTGGAATTCGAAGACAGTGGAGGTGAGACATAGCTGAACACCTAATATTATTTCATCAACCAAGAGTGAACTATGTGGTCTCGTGAAGAAATTTGTAGGATTATGAGCAATGAATTATGCTTGAGCCGTAATCCAGTTACTAACAATGTATCAGTGTTCATTACATCAAATATATTTATCTAATATGGGGCTTACTGCACCACAGTGCTCAAATCCTACTCTAAAATAATCAATTACATGTTGTGGACACACACATATACACGCACACAGGTACACACGAAGTAAGATGAAACAATAATGAAAACTGACACTTTATAAACACAACTAAATCTAATTTAATATCGACAAATACAAAAATACTTCAATGATATCGTGATTCGGTTGTGTGTTAATTTTATCATTTATCACTCACTGTAAGGAAGGGTCCAAAATCCATTTCGGCGTTAGTATAAAACGTGCTGAGAGTTGAGTGAGAAAGAAATTGACGAAGACAAAATAATCATGCCTTTCACTTCTGTGTTATTTCTGATTGTATTTCTGCTCACCAACTCAAAATATACACTCTCATTAGTCCCGAAACCATCACATTACAACAGGAGTTCGACAGCCTGTTATTTACAGCGTCCACTTCTCTACCAGAATGACTATCCAGCATGCTTTGTACTAACAGACTATCTGAAGAGATTCCAACGTCGGCTAGAACTGCAACATCCGCGAATTTCTCAGCAAGATGAGATAAAATGCAACATAAGCAAATTAAAAATCAAAATAGACGATGGATGTGACGAAAGTAAAAATAAATTATGGCCAAATGTTTCCATAGATGAATCATGTAAGTTAAACCACAGTTAATGATTTCGCTCGTCGATTGTTAGACTATATAACCATAAGAGATACTGAAATAAACATACTTTCCATGGAGGTTTGGGGTGTAATACATGCGCTTGAAACAATACTTCAGTTGGTATACAAGGATAAATTTGGAGGAGTGAGTTTTGTTTTGAATGGAGATTTTTTGCATCAATGCATTTTATGCAGAATGTGATATTTCAAGGTGATATAATAGATGAACCAGAATTCTCCCACCGTGGATTGTTGATAGATACTGCGAGGAACTTCATGTCAGTTGAAATCCTACGGAAAATGATAGTAAGAAGTGTTATGTGGAACATAGTGTCTTCTGTTCACAGGATATCATGGCTATGGTTAAAATGAATGTCCTTCATTGGCATATCACAGATGACCAATCGTTTCCCTTTGTCTCAACCACCTATCCAGAACTGTCAGACAAGGTGAGTTAGGTTAGAGTCCAGTCATTTGATAATTCTGATTCTCGTCCTAATCTGAACAGGGTGCATATCATCCACAAAAGTGTACATATGACGAAGAAGAAGTATCTGATTTATTGGAATACGCCCGTCTCCGTGGAGTCCGGATCATTCCAGAATTTGATACTCCAGGTAGGTAACGTTAACGACATGTAAATTCATGTAATTATCAACTCAAGGAAGTTGATGAAATGAGTCGATGGTGAGTCCCTTTGGAGATTAATCTTTCATGAACGTTTTGGTCACTTTGCAGTTCAATTCAGATTATTCAAGGTTTATGATTTTGAAGGGTAAGTTGGCAGGGATTTGATCGTTTTCGTGTTTGATCACTTATCGATGTTAGTTGGGGAACTACTGAATACCGGCGATTAATGAGTGGCTGCTTTGTACATGCTGGAGACTGCACAGTGGTATGCAGGCCGTCATCACCGATATTCGAACCTAGTACCTTATAGTTACAAGGCACATTTGCGGAATGAAGCATGAATTCCCACTTCTTTCTATTCGTTATCTTAGCGCGACAGCCGAAGAATGTCATTGGCGAGTATTTTTCCTCACATGCAATCTGCTTGTATTTATTTCTCTTCAACCCACTGATAAAAGCAGATAATTTGACGATGACTCCGACAGCAGAAATATGTGAGTGTCATTAGTTGTAGAGTCAGTGAATGTTTCCAGTGTTCAATGAATCCTTTTAACGTCTCAGAAATGATTCCCAAGTGAACGGATGTAGTTGATGTGAAGCATGCATCTGATATATGTGAAGAAGACAAGATTGCTTCAGAAAACACCATAGCTGACATCAAGTTACAGAGGGTGAACATACAAGTCAATGGCTCTCTGACAGTTAGGAAAATTATTTTCTATGTCGGTAATAATAATGACTAATTATTGTCAAAGTAATTCTCACACTTCAACACAATCATCCTTTGTAGCGCATATGTTGTCATGGGGAAAAGCATATCCACACATACTAACAAAATGTTACAATGATTCCAAGCCAAACGGGAAATTCGGTCCACTGAATCCAGCCAATGAATCCACGTATGAGTTTTTGAAGCAATTCTTCACAGAAGTCATCGGTAGATTTCATGACAGTTATATTCATCTTGGTGGCAACGAGGTAGATTATGAATGCTGGTGAGTTTTCTTGATTTTGAGTAAGATTAAGTGAAAGTGGATTGTTATAGCATACGTACATTCTCACGCTAAACTGAAAGTTCAATCTCCCCCCCCCCACTTGAGATGAACGGAGGCTGAACTGGTCTCATCTAAACAATATTCTCATTATTTCAATTACCTATCATTATTTAGTGATTTGTGTGCACAGGGAACAGTGAATTTCAACCTCTGTCACTGTCTGCTTTCCAATACTAGCGATACACGATTCACTATTATTATTATTATTATTAATATGTCTATCATTATGATATAAACACTTGACTGTGAATCACTCACTGCCATCTGTCTTGGTAGGTATAACTCAATGATAGATAAACTGTGAAGCACGGTAATCCCACAGTATTTGACTTTTCAATGTCACACAGGATTTCACTTTGACAATCAACTGACGCAGGTGACTCTCCATCAGGCTGGATAAATTCTCCTGCTTACTGTGAAAACTTTATTAGAATACCGAGTATTATGGCAGGTGTACATCTCACCCAGTCACTTCCATTGGGTGAAACAAATATCCTCATCTAGAGTTTCTGATTAATTCTCTTGTCAATCAATCATTCAGTCACAAATCATAACTGAAGATTTGTTGATATCGAGACTCCACTGTCGGTGGTTTTAAGCGATCCCTGACTAATAACACGGAATCAGTAAACTGAAGCGCTTTCTCCCCTTCTTTCCCTTTTCTCTTCAGGAAGTCGAATCCGGATATAGTTGAATTCATGCAGAAAATGGGATTCAATGATGACTATTTTGAATTAGAGAAATATCACTTTATGAAAGTCATACAAATTGTCATGAATATGACGACCGATCCTGACTATCCAATGACGCCTATTGTCTATCAGGAGAGTTTTGTCGAAGAATGTGGAGTAAGTTATGGAGAATGTGTTTGGTAATAAATCAAATCATTCGAAACTGACCGATAATTATTCATTTAGGTAATTATTTTACTTGATATGAACTGTGGTCAAGATTTGACCGAATAGTTACACAATATTTGAAGGACATTTAAGACGTGAACATATGTGAAAATTATCTTTGTAAACTGTCAGCAGTGTCCATTGCTTGCCTAAAAATTCGCTTTGCATGCTCAATCACTGCTACTTCTACACTTTTCTCTATTGTTTCAAAATTTTGTTTGAATTTTTTGTTCTTTTGAATCTAATGTCCCGAAGGGTATTTTCCACGATTTGTTCTATTAAAACCATACTTCTCAACAAAGTCATGGTACACACAGACAGCAGGAGTAGTACCAGTGGTAACAAATGTATACATATATATATTATGAACTGTGATCAAGGTTTGACCGAATAGTTCCAAAATAATTGGGCGTCGAGGGAGAAGTAGACATTTGTAAAAATTATATTTGTAAAATTTCAGCGAAATTGAAATGATTAATTCCAACGTTTCGTTCGGCAATCTGGTCCGAACTTCTTCAAGAAAATTAATCGAGATTAACATAACAGAGGTTAATGTAGACAAAGCAATAAGAAGACGTAATTTCTCTGAATCGTGTAATGTATTTACACATTTAGAACAATCTGATCACACACGGACTTGTCCTAGGAATATATATGAAATTAATAAAGAGTTAAGACGTGAGAAAATAGACTTAGGTCAAGTTAAAAGGCCACCATATTGAAGGTCAGAATAACAATGAAGAACACTAAACCAAATAATAGAGGTAAAAAATAGTGAATCTATCCTGGCTGGTATCAAATCGAAGTTTACCAAGGAAGGTTTAGTGTGATGACGAATTGTTTTTGAACGCACAAAGGAGGTTCAAATTTTCTAATTGCCAGCTAGGGCTTCCACAAACTTTAGGATACCCCCTAAACATTTTGGAACACATCAACTCGAAGGTAGAGTCAATTCAATTTTCTTATGAATTGGAAAGTCAGGAAGTGGACCTGTCAGTGTTACATTGTAGTATAAAAAGGAAAGAAGGTGCTAAGTTAAAAACTTTTGTTTATAGGAAACCCATACATTCAAACCAATATTGGATTTCGGATCATCCCACCCTATGTCAGAAAAACAGGACTGCTGAAATGTTTAAGTTATAGGGCTGAAAAACTAAACAGTACCAAGGAAAATAAAATAATTACTCTGATAAATTAATCAGAAAGTATGTAGGAAAATAATGGTAGTAGGAATAGTTATAAAAATAATAATATTAGTGGTGACATGCATGTCAAAATTGTACAGAATAATGACAACATCAGCAATAGGGAATATAAATCATCAGTAGCACTTCTATACAGAGAAGGAACCTCGGAAACCTTACGTAGAATTCTTAATGAGGTAGGGATAAAAGTGGCATTCAGTTACCCACTAACGCAGTTAGAAATAAGCTTTTCCGGTTAAAGGATCCTATTGTGAACAATTTATTATTATCATTATTGTTCCCTTGGGTTCTTAGTGGAACATTGGGCTTCAACTGCACGCCTCCACTTGTTTCTCTCTCCTGCTGTACTTTTCACCTGCATCCATGTTACTTCACACTGTTTCAGCTCCTCTTCACACGATCTCCTCCATGTCACCCTTGGACGTCTCACTCACCACTTCCCTTTCGGGTTCCACTCGAGCGTTGGCCTGACGCGCGATGTCGCCCAACGGCCTCCTCAGCGAGTGTCCAATCCATCTCCACTTTCTCCTGCATATTTGTTCAGCGATTGGTTTGTTCTTGTTTTGTTTGTTCCCATAGTTTCTTGTTGGTGATACCTCTCGGCCATCTCATCTTCAGTATAGAACGAAGACAGTTGTTGATAAAGGTTTGCAACCTGTTGAAAATATTCTTGGTGACCCGCCAAGTTTCTGTTCCATATAGAAGAACTGACTTGACGTTTGTATTGAAAATCCGAATTTTGTTGTTGATGCTGAGTGACGAATATTTATAGATTGGTTTCAGGTTGATGAATGTGTTTCTCGCCTTCCCGATTCTCGATTTGACATCCTCGTCAATTCCTCCTATAGTTGAGACAATGCTCCCTAGATAAGTGAATGAAGTAACCTCTTTCAAATCCCTCCCGTTGATGGTGATTGGCACTGGATGTTGCTGCTGTTGTTGTTGTTGTTGGTTGGTTATTTTCATGACCTCCGTCTTGTCTATGTTCACCTGGAGTCCTGTCTTTGCTGCTTCTTCGACCAGTTTGTCGGTTTTTGCTTGTAAGTCTTCGATTTTGTGTGACATCAAACATAAATCATCCACGCGCGAAATCCAGGTATTCTAGATTCTTCACGTCGGTCCAGGATATCCCTGTCTTCTCGTTTCCCACTGTCTGACGCATAATCCAGTCCACCACAATTAGGAATATCATTGGTGATAATAAGCACCCTTGTCTGACTCCTGTGTTTACTCCAAACGCCTCGCTGAGTTTTCCGTTGTGGATCACTTGACATGTGCCGTTGTCGCACAACTGTTGAATAAGGTTGATGAATATTTGGGGTACGCCGTAGTACTCGAGTAGTTTCCAAACTACTTCGCGGTCAACGCTGTCGAAGGCCTTCTCAAAGTCTATGAAGTTGAGGTAGAGATTTGATTGTCATTTCATGCTTTGTTCGATGATGATGCGTAGAGTTGCAATTTGATCAGAACATGATTTGCCTTTCCTGAATCCAGCTTGTTCTGGTCGGAGTTCTGAATCCAGTGAGTTTTTTATTCTCTCCAGGATGATGCGACTCAGAATTTTACTTGGCGTCGACAGGAGCATGATTCCTCGCCAGTTCTTGCAGAGTCCTAAGTCGCTCTTCTTTGGTAGTTTCACGAGGTAACCTTTCCTCCAATTAGTAGGCACCTTTCCCTCTTTCCAGACCTTTTGCAATAATGGAGTCAGCATATCTGCTGTCGTTTCTGGGTCCGCTTTCAGTGCTTCCGGGGGTATTCCATCTGGTCCAGCTGCTTTTCCAGATTTCAGAAGCTTGATTGCATTCGAGACTTCAGCTTTCGTTGGAGGATTGATGTCAACATGCAGCTGTGTGCGTGCTGTTGTTGGTATTTCTGGACGAGTTGTAGGTGATGGTCGGTTCAAGAGTCCTTTGAAGTGGTCCGCCCATTGTTTAATTTGTCTTTCTTCCTCGTTAATTAGGTTCTCTTGGCTGTCTTTTATAGGTTTTGTTATATATGAATATTATGACCTTGTAGGCTACGAGCGAATCTAAGTTATTGCGTTGGTTAATCTGACCTAATCGCACGTCAACAACAACAACAAGACAAAAAAGAAGACTGGACGTTGATACGAGAGCTTAACTATCTCTACAACAGTCGAAAATGTTAAACAAAACTCCGTATTTATACAGTTAGGAAAATCAATGTCACATTCAAAAAATATTAACAATTAATGGTAAATCAGTAAATTCAATCATGCAGGTGCGAAAAATCAATATTGATGAGTTACCAGTGTATATATCAGGTTTCACTTTTGTTGATCTCTTCCCGGATAGAGACTTAGTTGTCTGATATAATGTCCTCAGGTCCCTTTTGCCTGCTGCCTTCTCAGCTTCAGTGGCCAGGTTGTCGTAGAATTGTCTTTTGTCCTTCCTGGCAATCTTATTCACTTCTTTGTCCAGTGCCGTGTAAGTTGAATCCAGCGTCTCTTTCTCTTGTCCGTCTTTGCATTGAATCATTTTTTCCTTCACCATTCTCCTCTCCTCTATTAGTTTCCAAGTGTCTGTTGAGAGCCATTCCTTGTCTTGTTTCTTCTTTCTTCCTAAAACCGTTGAACACGTTTCGTTGAAAATCACCTTCAGAGAGTTCCAATGGTCTTCCACGGATGATTCTTCCGTGATGTCACGTAGTGTTTCCTGCTTTGCTCTGACAGTTGCAGTGAAAGTGTACTTTGTCGTTGTGCCCTCCAATTTTTGAGTGTTGAACTTGCATTGTGGCCTATCCCCAGGTATCCTCGAGGCTTTCAGCTTCACCTTGAAACTCCCTTGTACTAGATAGTGGTCTGAACCCACATCTGCTCCTCTCCTCGATCTTGTGTCCAGTAGGCTCCGTTTCCATTTCCTTGAGATTGAAATGAAGTCTATCTGGTTTTTGGTCTGTCCACCTGGTGAAATCCATGTCGCCTTGTGTAAATCCTTGTGTTTGAACACACTGCCACCAATCACCAAATCATTGAAGGCTCAGAAGTCTGAGAAGAGTTCACCATTGTCATTCATTTCACCAAGGGCCTCACGACCCATGGTGAGTTCTCTTCCTGTATTGTCTCCTCCCAGCTTCACATCCAAATCACTTATCAGGACTTTGATATCGCTCTTTGGGGCGTTGTCTATTACTGCTTGTAGTTGTCTGTAGAAGGCCTCCTTTTTCTCTTGTTCTGAGACGTTTGTAGGCACCTAGCACTGAATGATTGTAACCTTCCTTTCTTTTGAGTTGATCTTGGCTGTCATTATCCTGGAGGAGATTGGTTCCCACTGCATGAGAGCTTTAGCTGCTGTTGGTGACATCATGATGGCTACTCCCTCAGTATGCTCATGATGGTCCTCTGGGTGACCGGAGTAGATTATTGCCTCTCCAGTTGACAGTTGGCACCTACCACATCCGTTCCATCTGCTCTCGCCGATTCCCAACACTTCTATTTTATATCTCCTCATTTCTGCGGCTACCTGGGCAGCCTTTCCAGCTTCGTACATTGTACGAACATTCCACGTCCCCATCCTTATTTTTGCTTTCATCGAAAGAAGGCACATCGGCTGACTGGCTTCCCGAAGGCTTTCACCAGCCTGCATCATTTCACTTCCCCGATTCCAGCGAAAAATAAGGTTATTGTTTATATTTTTAGTATTTTTAATATATTTATGCATTGAATTTTCTGTAGCAATTGGTTTAAGTTTTGGGAGTGGAGTTGCTAGCACCATGCCCCAAACCTTTTTCTTTATCCGGGCTTGGGACCAGATAGAAAACTAGTGAGCCAGTAATCTAGGCGAGGTTGAGACGTGGACATATGTGAAAGTTATCTTTGTTAACTGTCAGCGAAATTGAAACTGTTTCCAACTTCTTCAGGAGAAGTGATCGATATTAAAATAACAAAGGTATATATATTATATATCAAAAGGAGACATTTTATCTTTGAAAACCCTGTCCAATCATATGAGTCATGAACAGACATCAAAATATAATAGACAAAATTGCATGGTTTGTGATCAAAGTTTGAACACAGATTTCTGTTAAACGCTGTAAACAGGGTGTACTTTTGCATCAGATTCTTAGTGATTACGTTCGACTAATGCTCATGTTCGTTGATAACTGAATATGAAAAATGTACCTATGCGATAAACAAAATAAAGTGTTTGTGTGAATGGGAGAACCATTGCATATCCCTTGTTAACCTTTCCATAAGAAGGAATACATGGTCGGGAAAATAGATTAAGCATGAGAAATTACTGATATATATCGATTATATTTATAAATTAGGACTAACTGTCCACCAGCTATCAAGACAAAGGTGTTAGCTGACACATTATTTGAGAAAAGTCACGCTTAAACCACTCTTTACATGATCTCCTGCATTCCATCCTCCGATATCTAAAATATCCCTTCACATTTGTGTACCACTTAATTCCATAAATCAGCGGATTCCAGTGTTCCTCCATGCATGCATCTCCGGTGCTGTTGCTCAGTCTGTCTGATTTCTTCCAGATGACTGTCCGGAAGGTGTATTTCATTGGTTCGTTTCAGTTCCAGAGTACTGCACTTGAACTCTGGTCTGTCTTCAACTTCTTTGAAGCCTTTTAACTTGACTCTGAATATGTTCAACCACACAAGTTAGTGCACTCAGTTCACGTCTGCTCCTCTTCTTGGTTTTGTTTGCACTGGGCTGCGTCTCAATTTTCGTGAGACTGGCATGAATTGAATATTATATTTCGTATAGTTAAACTGAAGTCATCTCGTGAATATCCTTGTGTTTGCACACATCGTACCGAATTGACAAATTGCTGGGTGCTCAAATGTCTGCAAAGTGTTCCCATTCTCACTTATTTAAACGAGTGCCCCTGGAATCCGTGATAAATTTTCTCACAAAGGGAATAATGCGTCTAATCTACTTGGTTGATTTTTGTTGTAGCCGTCTGATTTTATCTTTAGAAAGCAATACGTCGTACTTATACAAATTTCTGAGTGCCCTTGAATACGACTGTGGACATTCTTTGAAGGAGCAACGCTTTCGGAGTCAGGGTTATTCAGGTCGAATACTACTCTGTGGAATTACATAGTCTGGATCAGTATTTCACTTGAAATTTATGTATAAAATGTACATAGAACATGCTTAGAATTTTTTACTGTCTATAAACATATTATTTGGAACAAAGTGAAAATTGTTATTGGTTGTAAAATTGTTATTTACTTCCAGTACAGTAGGCATATCACCCAAATCAATTTCGCTGACATCTGGGTCTCGCTCAGTACTGTTTTCAGTTGTGTGTCGAAATCCTTTCTGTTCTCTCAGTCTGCGTCGATTTTAGTTGTGCAACATTATATAATCGTGACTTCTTTTCATACTGAGGTGATTCGTGCTGTAGTTCTGTTTCGGAACATTAAGTCCAGCTGCATAGACGCTATTGCTGCTATTGGTGAAATCATGATAGCCGTCTTCTAAATAATCTAGACGATCAGAGGTGGTTATTCACTCTTCATTAAATAACTGAGAATGCCAACTAGCTCCCACGAAATCCTAACAATACATTAAAGTATCTCGCTATTTCTTGGGCAAGCAGAGCATCCCTGCCAGCCTCAAACATTTTACACAGACTTCATGTGTTTATGCATATTCTGCCTTTTAACGAAAGAAGATGCTTTACTGTCTGTCCCCATAGATACTTGTATCCTCCAGGATTAACCACCTCCGAAAAGAGGAATCATTCAGGATTGAACAGAAGAAGAAGTTGTTTACAAGCTCAGAACGTTCATTGGATGCGAGACTGTTTTCCACTGAGTGCAATTAAAAGGCGCTAACCTGCTTTCTCTCCTGCACGTCTTTAAAAACGGCTAGTAAAATAAACAGTGAGGTAATCTTCTTTTATAAGTCCTACTGAAAATATACTGCAGCAAATGAATGAATAAATGAAGAGCAAAACACTCGCTGAGGCGAGACAGAAAAGAAGTGTGTGTGATTTTCCCACTTCGATTTGTCATACCTTACCTGTTAATCATGTAATTCATGCCACTCAGCTATCAGATGTCTGGAAAATCTTCAAAAAATGGGTGCAGAGATCTAAGTCACCCACATAACTTGTTTCCGCAATCTCTGTTTTATCGAATACTTTAGTCTGTTGGATGAAATGTCTCAAACTGTTCAGATTACTGTTATCATTTTGGAAAACATGAGACCCATAGAGATAAAACTGTTTGATTCTGATGTTTAACAGTATGACCAAAGTACAATAATTCATGTGTGGAAGAGTGATAATTGGAAGAATTACACCTTCAATGCTACTGAAGATGGACACTCGGTTATAATCTCTGGTATTTGGAATCTAAACGACTTACAGCATGACGATGATTGGAGTAGATATTTTGAACAAAATATCAGAGATTTTGGAGGTGAGTTTATTTGAGACGTTATTTGAAGTGAATGATTTCCACAAACAATCTGAGGTGCAGATATTACTCGAGTGGTTCTATTTTATGTTTCAACTTACATGTCTGTGTTATGAGGTAGTTTTGAGATGAGCGTTAACTCTCAGTGGTTACAGCTAGCTAGTCGACTCTCCTGCTCCAATGGTGGTCATTCAATAAAAGCCGGTCGGAATCTGTGGAACAAATATCTGTTCACATCAAAATAGAATCATACATAAGGCCAACCAATTCCCACGTAAGCACAAACTGGTCTTGTGATAACACAATATTCTGGACATCGAACTACTGCCTTGATAAAATGCTAATTACTTGGAAAATCCTACTGCAGGACCTGGCTATTAATCATTTGTCTCATCTGATTCCCAGAACAGCAGCAATACCGATCTGAGTAAATTAATGGATAAATTCTCAGTAATATTTCGACTAGAGCACACTAATTATTATTATTGTTATAATTTTGCCGGTAATTATTTTTTCGACTTCACAGAATGTAGAAATGTGGAACCACTTGGACTGCATAAGTATAGGCCTTGTTCACCAGTGTCCTTGACATATTTGAATTTCAAACAAGCAACGAAGCTTAGTAAATCAGGATTTAATGAATTCATCAAATTTGGTTACAACTCTTCGTCAGCTGAATACTTTGCATGCAAGTATATAAATTTACCATTAGAATCACTTAGGTAGAATTCAGACTGTTAAGCAAATGAACTAAACTGAATAAAGCATGTTAAATGGCAGGCGTGAATGCGTTTCAGGTTATGTTCGTATAGATAAGGGAAGGGAGTATTGGAGATTGAAATTAGGATAAAAGGAATTAGTCATCAGAGAGAGAACTTGAATGCATCAAGAAATGTGAACTGAATAGTAGTGGCAATAATAGTGAAGTTAATAGCAATAATATTGAAACGAGTTAAGATAATGGTACTGATAAAAGACAGTTTTAAATGATTCAGGAATACTAATAAGACGCAAACTGAGGTATAGAATAAAGTGTTAATAATAATTTTGATTGCATTATTAGAAGACAGAAATTATCTGAAAATTGTGATGAATTTGCGCCATACATTTCGAACAATCTGATCAGACCTTTTCTTGTCAAGTCAATATTTATGGAAAGGTTAAATTAAACAAAGTGACAAAACAAAATTAAGAATAATTAACACAAACGTTTGGTAATGTAATCAAATTCTTAATTCTATTTTGTTTCACTTAGTTTAATTTAACCTTTCCATAAATATTGACTTGACAAGAAAAGGTCTGATCAGATTGTTCGAAATGTATGGCGCAAATTCATCACAATTTTCAGATAATCTCCGTCTTCTAATAATGCTATCAAAATTTATAAAAGGGACTAATTCTTTATAATAATGATAATAACAGCTACTAAGTAGGACATATTACCATGGTAGATTCAGAGTGACCACTATTTCCTCTTGTACACACGGACCTGGTTTGTAGACTCAAATTGCACAGTCATCCTCAGTTGCAAGCATCTCCTTGTCCGTCTTTCTGCTGACAACGGTGAATGACAGACAGCATTAATAACAGATCCGTAGTCCACAAGGTGCTTTGTTATTGAAATTTTTGGCACTTCGACTTCAGCCATTTTCAACAACCTTGATAAATGCTCCATCATGCCAGTAGACAATCGTCTTTCTCTACAACATATAAACCTATTCGATGAATTCATTAAATCCTGCTTCACTAACAGCTGTTGGTTGTCGCAAATAAATGTTTCCCAATATTTGAATTTGTGGATTAGATTACTCCTCATTCACTCTTATTTTCTCTCTGTGTTAATAATACTAGTTCTATTGTTTACAGGCACACTCACAGAATCAATAGAAGTCCTTGGTGGTGAGGCTGAAATATGGAGCACACATGCGGATGAGACCAATGTGATCTCACTGGCTTGGTGAGTACCGTTCGTGAATAATTTTCAAAATTTTCCCCGAAATCATTGACTGTTTATTGGAAATGTTTCAGTTGAATTGAGCTGACAGGTGATCAGTGTTCTGTTGATAGTTAGTATATGCAGAAGTTTGTAGTTCCACTCAGAGTAAATTGCAAGTGTCAGATAATTTGATGATCAACATTGATGATTGTGCAGATCACTAGAACCAGCGTGATCAGAAAATGAGATACTTGACCCTAACTTAGATTAGATATCACGTCGTACAGATTTTATTGATGCATTCGATCCCGATAGAACGTAGTTTTCTTATCCGAAACCTGTGATTTATCGGTAGTGTGGGGCGAATGAATATTTGGATATAATTTCTAGTCTTGATGTTAGTTTCTTTGGGGAAATGTATTGGTGTCTTTCCCATGGAGCAGTAAATTTTCATTTTTTCAGTCACTCCTCTGCATTTCTCCTAATCGGAGAATAGCTGAGAAGTGATCATCAGTATGCGTTCATGAGGAACAAAACCGAGTCCCATATAAAATCGGTCACAGTAGAATTTCAGCCACTAGTCACTGTTACATTTCCGAGCTGTGGGAGTTTCGCCTTAATTCAGGGAGCACTTACTCATTTTATATGAAAAACTCGATCAGAAATCGAATGACAATTTGTCTCTTTCATGAAATAATTTCAAATATTGTTAGAGAGAACTGGCTTTTACAGGAGATGATGCAAGATGATTTTCAATGTCTGACAGAATGTGAACTTAATGTAGTCTGATTTCCTCCGGTGTATTCACAACGATTCTGTGTATTCTCTGATCTCCGTAACAATTGTAGGCCTAGAGGTGCCGCCGTGGCTGAACGACTCTGGTCGAAGCACACTGTAAATGTTAGTGAATTTGGAGAGAGAGTGGAAGAACTCCGATGCAGGATGCGCCAGTGAGTCTTTTTATTCTGACATTCATGCATACTCCGTTTTAGTAGTAGACGGTCAAATGATGTTTCATGTGGTTTACGGGCCACCAGACCGCTGATTACGTCTGTCTACAATGGACGGATATGAGGTTCATGCAATTACGGGGTATGCAATGACTAACCCTGGAAATGATAAAATTTGATAAGGTAGGGGAGTGAAGGGAAGACGTTTTCTTAATTAGACTGTTGGAAAATAACATTGTCAGTGGAGGTACAATGTTATTATTATTGTTGTATTCTAATGTTAACTTATATTGTCTGTACACAGAAGTGAAAAGACACTTTATGATGTGAGTTTTATTCATTTCCTCTGTCAAACTAAGCTCTGAACTTTCACTTGAAATCGCGACAACGTACACTAGTTTTGTTTCTAGTGGTGGATCTGATTTGACTTTTATTTCATTTAACCTCAGCTGAAAGAGAAAATGTAGACAACTTAGGTGTCTATACTTCACCACTTGTGGTATCATTCAGCCGAGTGTAAAATTCAATGACCTGTTTGAGCGGCATACAACAATTGGATGTTGACTGAGCAGTTCTAACACCTGTGAAGTATACAACATCTGAGAGATCTTCACTGGTGATGTCCAATTACACATGCTGTGCTGATGGGGATTGTTGTCTGCGACTGATGCTACTACGACTACTGATGAATTTAACGATGATGACTCTAGGAAGTGGTCAACGAATTCATCAGCCTCGATGAAAGACAATCACTTTAGTACAACAACAAGTAGTTTTATTGTGCTTGCTGTATTAAAAACCCACTCACAACGTGCCATGGCTTACTTTGTAGTCGACTGTTTTAATTTTTGCTGATTGTTTACATTAGTTATTTGAAGTGTGAAACAACACAGCTGATATTGTATCTTTTATATTTATTTATTTTGTGGCACAATTTAGGAACAACATACCAGTTCATCCTTTAAGTGGTTCAGGTTTCTGTCAATCCTGAATTTTTAAAAGACAATCAAACTGAAAAATGTGTGTCGGAAGATTGTGATTCACTTTATTTTGTACTGTTTTCTATTGAGAATTTAAATTTGATTTACTTCTATCATACAATCCAATATATCAACTTTTGAAGCAAGTACTTCCTGAGTTTGCTGTCACAATGTCTCAGCTCAGCAGGGTGTCTCTGATAAACACGACTGAAATGTATTTGCCAAGGCCAGTTATTCTTTGATAAATGATTTGTCTGTTGGTGTGAAGCTACTCAGCGTCATCTCACTCTATTGTTTATACTTGAGACTGCATCACTTTTCTCAACAGTACTAAGCGACTTTTGGTAGAGCTGTAAGTGTGTTAGCCTGCTAAATGGTTAGTGAAGATTTCAGGCAACAGTTTCATTAAATAGTTATGCGACTATTTTCGTACATGTGCCATATACAAATTTATAACTTTTGTCTTCGGGCAACAGGTCCTGAATTCACCACCTGCTCACAAATGTTACAACAAACTGTTTGGCTGAAAATCGTCCCCTAGGCATTACATTCAAACACATTAACTAGTCAACTATCAATTAACACGTAATTCTGCCCAATTTTAAGTCAAAATATCTCCACTCACTTGTATTGACAGAATGCCATTGTTATAATGGATGAGGACTGAATGTGAAATGGTGATCTAGATTGTGGTAGAACTGGAACTAGTGTCTTCATCAATACAGGTAGGGAAATGAGCTATCCTGAGGCATTTCACGCAAACAGATATCGCATCTGAGAATTTGACGTAACGCCCTTTAAACAGCCAACTGCTACATCTGACATGAATACAGCATTCATCTAGTCTCTGCCTGAGGAAATTCAAATATTAACTGACCCCTCCATCATATCTATACAAAGATGCTGAGGCGAAAGCACGGCTAGTTTCATTTGTAACGTAACTTATATCCTCACGCAATGAATACTAGGCCCGTCCTTCACAAGCAAGGCTACAATAGATACTGTCAAATTTTTCGTATGAAATAGTTTAAGACATATAGATACGAAGAAGCAGCAAGAATTAATTTCAGCTGGTAAGTATGATCCAAATGATCAGTACTGTGACCATTCACTTGTAAAAGTTTTGAAATTGGCTTCTTCTATTCGATATTGGGAGGCAAAATGATATTTCATTCGTGCACAACTATTAATATTCGTGTACTAACCATTCTATGTTGGTTTCCTGGGGATTAATTTATGACGAGGACCTTTAAATCTCCCTTCTAGCAATGGATATTCAACTGTCTTTCTTATCACTCAAAAACAGACTTAACCTTATCATATCTCTAAGCCTTTATTCCTGTATACCTTTGAGCATTACATAATTTTTAATTTTACTTGACAAGCTACTTCTGTGTAATCATTTCAAGTATTTCCTACCAAAATAATGAGTTCAGTGACTCAAAAACCAGTCACCTGTCAATAAAGGCGTAATTCTGCCCCATTTTCAGTCAAAATATCTTCACTCACTTGTATTGACAGAATGCCATTGTTATAATGGATGATGACTAAAGGTGAAATGGTGATCTAGATTGTGGTAGAATTGGAGCTAGTGTCTTCATCAATACAGGTAGAAATATGAGTTATCCTGAAGCATTTTCACGCAAACAGATACTCCAGCTGTGTGAGAAGTTGATATAACACTCCTGAAACAGCCAACTGCGACATCCAAGAAGAATACAGCATTCCTCTATGCCTTACCTGAGTAAATTCAAGCCATATTTGACAGCCTTTGTTCTACTTATACAAGAATGCCGAGACCAAAGCGTGGCAAGTTTCGTTTGTAAGGTGACTTATATGCTCACGTAATGAATACTTTGCCCTTCCTTCATCACGATGGATACTGTCAAATTTTGAAAATGTAATCAGTTTTCGTATGAAATATTTTCAGACTTATCTGTTACCTAGAAACAACAAAAATTAATTTCAGCCACCTACTACGATCTCCCTGACGAGTATTTTCAGCATTCAGTAAGTAAAGTTTTGGAACTGGCTTCTTATTTTTGATATTTGGAGGCGGAAACATACACCATTCGTGCAGGGATTCCTTCCAAGGATAGCTGTACCAAAAAAATATAAATGCGATTCCACAGTGCCCAAGTTTTACACGTATATACATAAATGTGATTCGTTATAGATTCAGGTCTCGAAAATTATGTTTGTTTCTTGTTTGATAAATCCACATCCAAGAGTTGCTTCTTACGAAGGAAATCAAAGAAAATTCTCCCAGGAAACTTCTCTTTATCGACGAAATCATATTTATATCTACAAAAACTGAAAAGTAGTGCATTATTGAGTAGTAATTCGGTGACATAATAGACATAGTTACTCAGAAGTGTTTTGAAAAGCGAAGTTAAAAATTAAAATCTAGTTAAAACTCAATGGCAAAAAGGAAGGAAGGGTTAGAGATTAGATGAATTTAGGTATTTGATTATTGAGTGAAGGGGAAGGTAGTAGAGCGTCCACTTAACAAGTGTGGAGTGGATGACAAAATATACAAAAGGAACATGTAAGAGTGACAATACTGAATTAGTTGTCGGCAGTACAAATTGGTCCGTTACTCAGACGATAAGAAGGCTTTTCTTAGTGGTCTGGATTAGCGATATTTCGGATTCTCAGCTGTGTCACCATCTTTATACCCAACGTTTATAAACAGTAGCTACTTCAGAGCCATTTGGGTTCTTTCAGGCTTTTGCTTTATTTCCGTGTTTTACACCTTAAATATTGAAGGATATCCTTTTCATCAGGAATTGTTTGAGTCTCTCCAGTTCACCATCGATTGTATCATATGCGCGTATCCTTCTTCTTCTTGAAGATGAGGGGTGGACCACATTCCACTTTCTTCTCAGAGTGACACAACTATGAATATTCGTGTACTAACCATTCTATGTTGGTTTCCTGGGGATCCATTTATGACGAGGACAATCAGATCTCCTTTCTAGCAATGGATATTCAAATACCTTTCTTATCACTCAACAACAGACTTAACCTTATCATATCTCTAACTCTTTATTCCTGTATACCTTTGAGCATTACATAATTTTTTAATTTTAATTGACAAGCTACTTCTGTGTAATCATTTCAAGTATTTCCCACCAAACTAATGAGTTCGGTGACTTCAGGAACTCCTAACTCTAATTCAAGCACACTCCCCAACTAGAAACTATTTGGTTCAATTGCGATTCAGATAAACATTTATAGATACCTGATCAAGTGTCAATTTCTTCCAGTATAAGCGGATTTAGAACTCGCGATTCCATGAATTCCTTGTCATTTAGAAGATGCGGAAAATATTAATTCGCCTGACTAACTGCTTAACAACATTGTAGATCCTGCCTAATTATGAATCACAAATGCTTGATTATAAGTGTGATACTGGAATTGATACAGACCCATACATTTACACTCTCATTCGTATTGAAGTGAGTCACGACAAAAGATTAACACCTTCCCTACTTGGAATTCAGTTTGTGTTCACTTATATGCTTCTAAGTGTTTTAAGAATGGAAACACTTTAGCATTCATTGAAATTCTTTATTACAGTTTCATAGCAAACGAATCTCAATAAAATTCATATAGGTTAATTGAGCAGATGTATAAGAAAGCTAAACTTGATAGAAAATGATTTCGTCTATGTAGGTATTTGTGATGAATGTTTGTACACACTTACGTGGATTAATTATCAGTTGAAGTGTTGGTTTGCAGGGATTTGGTTGTTTACAAGATTTCATCATGAGCTGATATTGGTTGGTTAGAGAACAATTAGAAAACCTGAGACTACTGGACAACTGTTTCGTCTTAGTTTGAGATTCTTAATCAGCACTCAGCCTAATATTTTCGGAAGGAACTACCATCACTACTGGAAGCAGTTCCGGTCTCTTAAGAGGCTGGGATATGCTCGCTTACTTGTCCTAAACACCAGTTTATCACTAGACAGTTGATATAGGTATAATTATTGAAATCTATTTGGTCAGTGTGCACGTTCAATACCAAAGCCCCTGATGTACAATCACAGAGTTGATAAATATGAAAGACAGAGTGTGATCTCGTTAGTTTTCTCCAAAATTATGTCCTTATTGTAGCTTCTTCATCAAAGTTATCCATATTCACTGGTCTTATCATTAAATCCTTGTTGAGAACATTGAAAAGCAGAGACACGGGAGAGGTGGTTGCAGTGACAGGCTGAAGATATTCTGCAAGCAGATTTCTTCGCGTTAATCATTGTCTGAATATTATGCTGGTGATTCTGATTGTTCGCTTGTCCAAATATTACCTGTTGATAGAGTTCGACTTAAACAAGACAATCGTCAGTTCTAACGACGCGCTGAGCCCACTAAAACTGTAGCCTCGATTGTGTTTGACTAGAATGACCGAAGAGAGAGCAAATGAAATATGGAATTGATGAAGATTTCCGATGGACAACAAGTATCGGTTGTCATCAGTGAGAGAAATACGAAGAAGGTCGCCTCTCTCCCTGGCCACATCTGAGCCGCATCGTTGAAATCACTGCCGTCAGAATTGAGAAATACAGTGTCATCCGTGATTGAGGCAGACAAGGAAAACTAGAGTTCATTATTGTGAAATCAGTGTGAAAATCTGATGTAACTAACTCGAGGAACAGGGTGCGAATTTTTAATTCTATTTTCTATGATGGAGAGAAACGGTGAGCGCGTCGGCGAAAGAATTTCCAACAGTCCTCTACTGACTATAATCAACGGCTGCTTTCACTCCAAATCATGGCTCAGTTTGACATAAAAGAAAAGTATCGACTAATTCTGTCAGCCAACTAGCCGGGAATATATCGCCTAACAAGTGGTAAAAAGAAGTTAAAGATGGGGTGAAGATACGCTGAGCGAACCTTTACAGGATATTGGGTATTATAAAATCGAGTGGTGCTGAGATGGAAAGCCACATTTTAGATCTCCGAGAGTGACATGAAGGAAGTCGTTCCGAAGAAGTGATATATTTCGAC